ATATAGTTTATATAGGGAAATAACACTTTTCGGTATATATTTTATCCATTTTCAGCAGAAAATTGCTCAAACTTAGTCAGAATCATCTTGGGTAAATGAGAGTTTTACTTTGTAAAATTAGGATTCCTGCCCCATCCCCAGGGGCTAGGGCGGGGCCCCAAAGGGAACATTTACCAATATTTTCAAATTCTTATCCATTGATGACATGACAAGTATTGTATTTCACTTAGTTTACATGCTGATTTCCACATCACATCTAAACAATAAAATAAAGCTTCCAGTATCTATGATATAACTCAGGTGACCGCTAAGGCCCTTTGGCCTCTTGTTTTGTTAATGCTTTAAAATCATTGCAAAACCTGTAACAAATTTTCCATCTTTTGATAACTGAATTAATTCACTAAAAATGTTGTAGCCAATTTGTTGTTAGTGGCTTCCATTTTTAATTCCTCGTAAAAGAATCCACAGAAATTGGGAGTTGTGTTGTAGAATGAGCTAATACAAATGTATTTAGAAAATGAAAGTACTCTTCATCACTTAGTGTGTGCACTTCGAATCATCCACATATATTTCACATGGAATTTCCAAATTATAGTTATAAAAGTTCATATTCAGATGACAGGAATGTCATGTACCAAAAGTATGATATTTGTTTTGAGCTCTAACTCAACAATTTTTACTGTTAAATGGCATCCAATGGTACCCCATGTAACAGGAAGTTTGGTATGCAGGTAGATCTAATGGTTTGATAAGAGAGAGAATAAAAACAATAACATATTGTTCCATAGCTTAACTGATGGGGGACTATAAGTTTCCTTACAATACTTTGTCGTATTTTTGAAGTGATTGACAGTATATAAATATCAACCTGTATATAGTCAAATGTTCTTCTTAATATTTACAGACCATCACAAACAAGATTACCTGTTCTGCCCTCAGGTATGTGACCATTGCTAAATATTCTTCTTTCTTTAATTTTAATACAAAAAAAACCTAACAAACACATTTTTTTTCAGCCATATTGGAGCATCACTGTTGTGTTTTTCTTCTTTTCTTTTTGTCTGTTCACTGTTATTTCATTGTGTTCGTCTTCTTAAACCTCAGAACTTTGTCAGAACACACCACATGAAGTTTTAAGTAAAAGAATGACAAAGGGAATGGCAAATAGCTATAGACACAAAGACATTTTATGGTGGTAATACAGCACCAAAGAATACCCTAGAAAATGTGTGTATAGATAAATAAAGGTTCTGTAACAAGTGCTGGTTGGTTATCGTGTTTATCTAACTCGAGTAAGTTAATTTTCAAATTGTATAAAGACACGAGGGTTACCGAGTGTCTTTTACAATTTGAAAATTAACTAACAAGACTTAGATAAACATGATAACCTACCATCATGAGTTTGGGGTCCTTTTTCTCCCATAACGTTCATATTTTATCTGGAAAGCCATATGTTTCCTTTGAAAATACACTATGTCGGCTTCCGATGGGGGAAACAATTGCCATGAATCATGACATTGCAAAGCATTGATACATGACGTCATAATTAAACAATTGAAATCACGTCCAGGGTGTTACCCACTAGTAGGTAACCAAAAATGTTTACCAACTTGATCCTAGCAGGTTTATCCATTGAATCAGGAGAGAGGAAACCTAAAGTGGTTATGGGAGAAATATGTACAAGGGTTGATGTGAAATTTCATCCATTTCTTTCCAAAATGACTAATCTAGCTACCACTCTGATGAAGAAAGTTGGCTATTTATTTAACTTCACACCGCAAGTACATATGTATACCCAGTACATGCCAATCCCATGTACCATGTGACCGACATGTACCATGTGACCACCATGTGCCATGTGACCTCCATGTGCTATGTGACCACCATGTACCATGTACCGGTAACTGCCATTTATCATATGACCTCCATGTACCATGTAACTGCCATGTTCCATGTGACCATCATGTGCCATGTGACCACCATGTGCCATGTGACCACCATGTACCATGTGACCACCATGTACCATGTGACCGACATTTACCATGTGACCGCCATGTACCATGTAACTGCACTGTACCATGTCACCATCATGTGCCATGTGACTACCATGTACCATGTGACCTCCATGTGCCATGTGACCTCAATGTACCATGTGGCTGCCATGTACCATGTGACCATCATGTGCCATGTGACCCCCATGTACCATGTGACCATCATGTGCCATGTGACCACCATGTACCATGTAACCTCCATGTGCCATGTGACCACCAAATCAGGAGATTTATAGGATATGATTATTAATAACTTTAAAAAAAAACAATATATCTGCTTGCATTACAAGAAAAAAAGTACTGAATGCTTTAAGGCAATGTGACATAGATTAAAAAGTCAGTTTGACTAGGTGTGATTTGTTAAAAGATTGATGCTTCAGAGAAAAATAATTGCCACCTGACTTCTATGTATAAATGATTACAAGCAGGAATTCACAGTGTAATCACATTTGTAGGAAAACCGTTTTACTGTCACAGAAACATTTTTGACTTTGAAAAAAAATGTGTGAAACAATAAAGGCCTTGGCAGATACATGTATAGCTGTACTTATATATAAGAGGTTGCAATCGATCAAAATTGTGATCTACAAGTCATTTTGATTTATTCAGATTAAAAAATATATACACAAAATGTTGATTGTAAATGTTGGCAGTACATATTTCTGTCTCTATGTCAGAAAATGAATTGTCAGATCTGGGTTATGTCTATAGCTGGATGCATTTTTATTTTTATCTTTTATTATACATATTTTAATTCTATCAGAAAAAGATGTGATACAGGACTTAATGCTTGAAAACAAGAAAATATTTGTGATTGTAAACAAAATCATTCGTTCTATGTGCTCATATTTGTTAATTAACAGGTGTTGACAGTGAAGGTGAGATAAAGTGAAAGCGTGTGTTAGGAAGTACATTTAGGCATAAACACTTGCAAGCCAGTGCAGTAAAACCTGGCCTGCAGGCCACCTATCTATAAACACCATCTGCATAAAGATTCATCAAGACTACCTGTTTTATCACTCCTTCATACTTGATACTCCAAATTGAACTGTTTAATGTTTCACTAAGTAAACACATGCTGTAGTGAGTTATTTTGGTCAATTTTGTTATTCTTTTGTTTTTAGAAATGCATGCTTTTAGTTTCAGATTGATCAATTTTAAGCAAAATGATTTGGAAAATTCTTTGTTTAAATTGTTTGGGTGTTGTCAAAATTATGTACATTTTTTTTATAATTATTTAAAAGAAAATTGTCTATAAAGAGTATACCACATATTAGGACCATCTGCTTATACAGAGAAACCCTATCCGTAAAGGATATAAATATATTTGTGTGTAGATAATACTTTGCTTGGCTTCTCAAATTTCTTTTCTCATCTGCATATATTATAACAATAACCTACACTACACTGACTTCTCATCTCACCTATCTACTGACGACCCTTTTGTAAAGAATAAGAAATTTAATGTACTGGTAAATGTAAGGCAAGTCTTATTATACGCCAATCGTCCGACGGATCGTATTTATGGTATGAGCTGCATTGACCGATGCCCGTCCGTTAACTTTTCCTTGTAATCGCTCTCCTGCCTTCATTCATGAACATATCTTGATAAACTTGGTACACATATTGCATATTAATATAACTGGAACGAGTTCGCATTTCAGATGTTTACAAACATTTTTGGTGGAGTTATGCCCCTTTTATTGCCAAAAAAGGGCATTGTGTAGTAAATCCAAGAACTTTTCTATTTTTTAATCAATTCCTTTCAAATTTGGTATGGTTATGTTTGAAGCAACAATGTTCAACATATATTATATGGGTTTTTTCCAGTTTCACCTTTCCGCATTTTGGCATATAACACTTGACATAGCAACACTGTACTTCATTTTTGCCGTTAACATTTGCTTGTTTACACGATAATTCAAACAATTATCCTCCAATTTTTATTAAACTACTTAGTTGTTTCATTACCTGAATGCTTTGAATGAGTTCTTAAATCGTGACATTTAAATGCTATTCGCTAGAGTTATGCCCCTTTTTAATTGCCAAATAAGGGTATTCCGTCGAAAATCTTACAATTCTAGGTTAATACGGTCATTTAACAGTAAGCAAAATATGAGGACATATCAAAACATCTATGAAATCATATCACATTTTAATTTTTCTTTCAGGTGGTGACAAGTCGGCCAATTCAATGTTTTTGGAAAACAGACCAAATATTGATGCCCCTCCTCGTACACAACCTGTGGGTTCGTCTTCAACGCCGACCCCACCCAAACCAACCACGACCACAACCTATCAAAATATACCCAGGATGCAACAGACATTGGACACCGATCAGACTTCACCCACAACAGCACAGACCACACCCACAACCATTCAGACCACACCCACAGCAGTGCATACCACAACCACAACTCAACAGGCAACATCCTCAATGCCAAACATACCATCAACAACACAACAGATGACTGTTACCTCTTCACAAGCATCATCTTGGACAGTTGAAATGGGAATGGGTCTGCAACCAGACTTCAGTAGTGTGGAGAGAGTGATAGAGTCTCTCGGACTTCCGCTCAATGACAACACAAAGGGAGCTATAAGCAGTGCCTTCACAAGTAAGATAAAACACAACCTCATTAGGTTAGTTGTTGTCGGGCATTTAAAAAATATTGGTTTCTGAACTTTTGAAAAACGACAATATCACTGTGGTTTGCAATGATATATAACTTAAATAATTCACAGGTACTGTTCCGATTCACTGCAGATTTTTCCCAGGTTGGTAACTTTGGCAAAGTACATGCATGTTAGATTTAATTTGATCTGAAAAAGCCATCATAAACTAGTATCTAGTTTCAACCCATGACTATTTAATGAAGATGCCACAATCAGATTGGTTAATGGTTTTTGCATATCTATGGAAGCAGTGATATGTAATTTTGTGAGGTTACAAAAATATATTAATTACACCAGTGCCTAGCTGAAATTGATTCACACAGTCATGATTAATCTGGCTGTTAAAATCCCTCAATCCATCTCTAAAAAGAGTGTTATGATTTTGTTGCAACTTAGTAAGGATACATGAGGATGCTAATGTCTGATTGGCTAGTGGTTTCCTGATGGTGAAGTGTCCTTTAATGGCAAAAATCAAATACTGCAGTTTTATGGATTATTCACAAATATTTAATTAAATTTTATGAGCAGTGTTAATCGTAAAAAGATGTTGAAATATTTAGGAAATATCTAGATAAATTCAAAACACTTTAGTGAAAATAAATGTTTTGAGTAATTTATTTTTCTGAGACTATTTTTTTCAACTTCACCAAAAGTTCTTTTAGTATTTTTAGAGATTAACACAATTATTTATGTTTCAATGAAAATTTATTACATTTTTGCCAGTTAAATTTCAGATTCTATCAACTTGATAAAACTGATATCTTTCACACTGTGACAAATATCAAAGGTGATATTTTCACAGTGTGAAAATATCACTTTTTGGTATTGACCAATCATAACGGTATCTTCTATTCACTGCATTCAAAGGCAACAATTTTTTGTTCAGATTCAAATGAAGCAAAGATAGAATAAGTGGTTGTTATGGTAAATGTTTGGTACACACATAAATATGCAACATAAATATACAATTCACAACATTTTTATAAGCGTTGAGTATCCCATCCAAAATGGCGCGCAGCCTTGTTGTCAAACGTGACGTCATTAGAATATGGCGCTAATTATTACGCTTCTGATTCCCGCCCTTTTTAATGCATTACATTTTTCATGTTTTATGCTTTGAAAATGAAATAAATAGAAAATTCAATGGGGGGGTCTTCAGTAATAACAAATATATTTCATTCCTGTGGCTAATATTTTGATATTTTTCACTCGTGTTATTACTGAAGACACCATTAAATATTCTCTATTTATCGCATGACTGACTCATTTTACTAGGTCATAAGGCCATGTCATAAATATGATATTACACATGTGCAATAAAATGTAACTAAAGGTGCCGCGATTAGTCAAAACCGTGGGAACTGCAATCATTCCTATTCCACTACAGGTTCTACTTGTATTACTATACCACAGACACATTTACTGTTATTCTTAATGAATTTGAAATGTTCATTTTGTTATTATTATTTTCATTGGATTTAAAACTGTTCATTATTCAAAAAAAAAAGAGAGAAAAAAAATCTGGAACTACTTTGCGCTGTGCGGAGGGACTGTAAACTTATGATGATCAGAGTACTTTGGTTTTAACTATAATTATAGAGTCAGCTGAGAACACATAATTGTGTTGGAAGTTTTTTTTTTAAATTATGAATTTTATGTGATAAATAGAATCTTAAATGAGTGTCCATGTCATATTGAATTTATTAAACGAGTTCAATAATTTGATATAAGACTCGCCTAAATGTAAGATCCTCTATTTATCAATATAAATGGAGTATTAAACCCCACCTTACAAACATCAACTCAGTGTTCCTGTACACAAGACAGGTCTTTATGTTATATTTAACCAGTTAACAATTTTTCTCTATACCGATTACACTTTTACCTGTATTTTTTTATTTTTTTTAGTTTGTAATAGACCTCGACCAGTAGCCATTGTTCTCTGTTCTGACCTTTGTATTACATTATTTGACATTTTGATTGACCTATAACTTTGTTGCCAAGGTGATGGTGAGCCTTCCATGGAACGTCCAAAGGGCCTGTACACTGTGTTGTTGGTGGACACCTCCTACAGTACCAGTTCTACCCCAGTAAAAGACATCATTAAATCCTTTATCGATGACTTCATGGATGGTAAGTTGTTCCTTCTATCTCACCGGACTTAAAGACCTAGGTGAGTTTGCTACAAGTGACAGTGTTTATGATCCTCTTATCTCTGTCACATTTATACCTAGTACATGTATTATAATGTTCCGTGGCAGCTTGGGTTTACGGTTAACTACCCATTGTCTCAACTGATTATACAGTGCAATTTTGGTGGCAGAAGTTGTCAAACTAATTAGACCATCTAGATGACATTTGGAAATCATCGAATTCAGAATGGAAAATTTTGTCATTTTACAATAAGCATTTAAAGTTTTATTTTTTAAACCGCATTGAGTAACCTCAGTAGAGTATGGGCTCTCTTTAAGTCAAATAAGGTGTGTCAGGTCTGGTTTATAAGTTAAAAAAACAATATGCTACCTAAATGTAAATCCCACTGACAAATCTGGAAGAAGCTTGGAAAATTGTGTAAATTGTAACGTGCAAACCTTTCAGTCATTCATGAGTATTCTTACCAGAAACCTAGATTTCTTTATGAAGTCGCTGTTTCCATGTTCTATGATCTCTGTGTTTTTAGACTCTGTTTCCATGTCCTATGATCTCTGTGTTGTGAGACTCTGTTTCCATGTTCTATCATCTCTGTGTTTTGCGATTCTGTTTCCAATGTTCTATCATCTCTGTGTTGTGATACTCTGTTTCCATGTTCTATGATCTCTGTGTTTTGAGACTCTGTTTCCAATGTTCTATCATCTCTGTGTTTTGAGACTGTTTCCATGTTCTATCATCTCTGTGTTTTGAGACTGTTTCCATGTTCTTTTATCTCTGTGTTTTTAGACTGTTTCTATGTTCTATCATCTCTGTGTTTTGAGACTCTGTTTCCATGTTCTATCATCTCTGTGTTTTGCGATTCTGTTTCCAATGTTCTATCATCTCTGTGTTGTGATACTCTGTTTCCATGTTCTATGATCTCTGTGTTTTGAGACTCTGTTTCCAATGTTCTATCATCTCTGTGTTTTGAGACTGTTTCCATGTTCTATCATCTCTGTGTTTTGAGACTGTTTCCATGTTCTTTTATCTCTGTGTTTTTAGACTGGTTCTATGTTCTATCATCTCTGTGTTTTGAGACTCTGTTTCCATGTTCTATCATCTCTGTGTTTTGCGATTCTGTTTCCAATGTTCTATCATCTCTGTGTTGTGATACTCTGTTTCCATGTTCTATGATCTCTGTGTTTTGAGACTCTGTTTCCAATGTTCTATCATCTCTGTGTTTTGAGACTGTTTCCATGTTCTATCATCTCTGTGTTTTGAGACTGTTTCCATGTTCTTTTATCTCTGTGTTTTTAGACTGTTTCTATGTTCTATCATCTCTGTGTTTTGAGACTCTGTTTCCATGTTCTATCATCTCTGTGTTTTGCGATTCTGTTTCCAATGTTCTATCATCTCTGTGTTGTGATACTCTGTTTCCATGTTCTATGATCTCTGTGTTTTGAGACTCTGTTTCCAATGTTCTATCATCTCTGTGTTTTGAGACTGTTTCCATGTTCTATCATCTCTGTGTTTTGAGACTGTTTCCATGTTCTTTTATCTCTGTGTTTTTAGACTGGTTCTATGTTCTATCATCTCTGTGTTTTGAGACTCTGTTTCCATGTTCTATCATCTCTGTGTTTTGCGATTCTGTTTCCAATGTTCTATCATCTCTGTGTTGTGATACTCTGTTTCCATGTTCTATGATCTCTGTGTTTTGAGACTCTGTTTCCAATGTTCTATCATCTCTGTGTTTTGAGACTGTTTCCATGTTCTATCATCTCTGTGTTTTGAGACTGTTTCCATGTTCTTTTATCTCTGTGTTTTTAGACTGTTTCTATGTTCTATCATCTCTGTGTTTTGAGACTCTGTTTCCATGTTCTATCATCTCTGTGTTTTGCGATTCTGTTTCCAATGTTCTATCATCTCTGTGTTGTGATACTCTGTTTCCATGTTCTATGATCTCTGTGTTTTGAGACTCTGTTTCCAATGTTCTATCATCTCTGTGTTTTGAGACTGTTTCCATGTTCTATCATCTCTGTGTTTTGAGACTGTTTCCATGTTCTTTTATCTCTGTGTTTTTAGACTGGTTCTATGTTCTATCATCTCTGTGTTTTGAGACTCTGTTTCCATGTTCTATCATCACTGTGTTGTGAGACTCTGTCTTTTTACATGTTCTATCATCTCTGAGTTTTGAGACTCTGTTTCCACGTTCTATGATCTCTGTGTTTTGAGACTGTTTCCATGGTCTATCATCACTGTGTTGTGAGACTCTGTCTTTTTACATGTTCTATCATCTCTGAGTTTTGAGACTCTGTTTCCAAGTTCTATCATCTCTGTGTTGTGATTCTCTGTTTCCATGTTCTATGATCTCCGCGTTTTGAGACTCTGTTTCCAAGTTCTATCATCTCTGTGTTGTGATACTCTGTCTGTTTACATGTTCTATCATCTCTGTGTTTTGAGATTCTGTTTCCAATGTTCTATCATCTCTGTGTTGTGATACTCTGTTTCCATGTTCTATCATCTCTGTGTTTTGAGACTGTTTCCATGTTCTATCATCAATGTATTATGACAGAGATTGAAGATTCAGCAGCAAATGAAACGCTGGAGGAAAATGTTGCATTGGTTACATTTGGCTGGAATACTGGTGTTCAACAAGGTTTCACCAATGACTTCTCCCTCATCCGAGATGCATTTGGTAAGTAACTGGCATAATCTTCATCTTTGACTTTAACCTGAGCAGGGCTAGACCAGGATTTGAACCCAGGACCTCAGATTCTTATACTGTCACTCTGACTGGTTAAGCTACCTTGTCAACAGAAGTGACCATGCCCAAATGTGCTACAGTTACAAACTGTGTATCTAAAACAAAATTAAGGGGAGGTAACTGTATGTAAAAAACGCTAGAGTGTAGTGGGACAGGGGTCCTTAAGAATTGACCTTTATTTGGATGACATATACAGTTGTATGAATGCAGTTGGCTACCTAGATACTTTATGGAACCAGATAAGACATAGCAGGCACCAAATTTTTATTCTGAATAGTGGTTTTAGAAGACATGGTTACACGTGTAAATGTGATGATGCAATCTTTGCTGAACTGTGAAATAAACATAGCATTTGTTTGGCATAAAGTATGCCTAAAACTTGTTGGTTGATTGTTTGCAATAATTGTTTCAGATTCTCTTCCTTACAAGGGAAGGTCACCCCTAGCCACTGGTCTTGCTGTTTGCCTGACCTATATGGAGAAATCAAGTGAGTCCAAACATACCTGTAGTAGGTCCTTTATAACTTCATTGTTCTATGTTTTACACAAAACTTTCTTAGTGCTTCATCCGTATATAAGTTGTGTTGGTATCATTTACTGCTACTATGAAGTACTGAAGTTACATAAGAAATAACACAACAAACAGTACAGTGTGCCTTGACTGAATTGTTTATTATGGATTTACTTTTGAAAAAAAATCTCTTAAAAAAGTTCTGTTTTCAATTTATCAGGAGAGGTGGTGTTGACATTAAGAACGGGTAACTATTTATAGACAACAAGATTGATTCCCTTCTCATGCCAATGTTTGTTAAATTGAAAATGAACACTCAAAATTTAAAATCTTCTAGACACTTATTCTTATATAATAGCAAATAATTGTACTGCAGTTGAAATCGTTCTTTCTGCATTTTTCTTTTACCAAGACCTGAATTGTTCAATACAATATATTATATATGTAAGAAAAGCTGTTCTAAATTCATACCTGTTACGTCTGTTTGGATAAACAGGTAAACAGTTACAGCAGAGTGGAATGGAGATCTTTCCCCGATTGGTCATTTTGACTGACGGTCATGCAACAGATGATGTAGACTTTGGAAGCAATAATGATGAACCAGACCCATCTGCTGTCACTGTAAGTAATGTAATTACCTCTGTACTGTTGCTGTAAGTAATGTAATTACCTCTGTACTGTCGCTGTTAGTAATGTAATTACCTAATGTACTGTTGCTGTAAGTAATGTAATTACCTATGTACTGTTGCTGTTAGTAATGTAATTACCTCTGTACTGTCGCCGTAAGTAATGTAATTACCTCTGTACTGTCGCTGTTAGTAATGTAATTACCTATGTACTGTCGCTGTAAGTAATGTAATTACCTCTGTACTCTCGCTGTATGTAATGTAATTACCTATGTACTGTCGCTGTTAGTAATGTAATTACCTCTGTACTGTCACTGTAAGTAATGTAATTACCTCTGTACTGTCGATGTAATTACCTATGTACTGTTGCTGTAAGTAATGTAATTACCTATGTAATGTTGATGTAAGTAATGTAATTCCCTAATGTACTGTCGATGTAAGTAATGTAATTACCTATGTTATGTCATTTTATGGAGACCTGTTAAACTTTTAAAACCTCAATACAGTTTTGATTAATTAAAATACTGTACAGGTCATAATTGCATGAAAGATCCTGATATTGTGTACAACGTTTTGACTGCAATATGTGACTAACGACAAGTAATACAAACTACTGGGGACATATCTAGTTTAGCGGTCCCTTATAAGAAATCATGTAATTTGTTGTGTGATGAGTATTACAGAAGGTATCACGTATTACAAGCATGCCGGACCATCTAAACAGAAAATTATGTCGTTCAGCACATGACACATGAAAAACAAAGAAGAGCTTTTTGAGCATTTTTGTATTTTAAAAAAAAGAGTGTTTTTTTAATTGCTGCTCATTATCAGTTCATCATGTGGAGATTGACAGCATGGGTACCCATTGGTGTTCAGTGAGGGTGTAGTATGGAATGTCAACAAACAGAAAATTGACTGAAATTGTCTGATAAGAATATGCTTTGTCATAACATTTGTTTGCTAATGTTATGCCTTTCAAGAACTAAGTAAATCATCATTAATCACTCTCAACAATAAACATATCTAGCATGTATTATTTTTTAGGTAGTTAGAGGGTGCCAAGACCAGTTTAAAAATACATTTTATACATAGCAAGAAGCTCATAGTAACAGTAGCATTTTTATAAGAAAACAAACAAGTATATTTTTTTCTTGCAGGAATTGAAATAAATAAATGACCAAAATCAAATTAATACATTATTTAATCATTCCTTTCGAGCATTTTACTAATAAACAGAAGAAAAAAAAAATGAAGATTTAGATATAGATCCTTGAAAAAGTGAAGAGCCTAGACCGGTATCTAACCTAATTTTGTGCAACATGACAACATGACATATGGTTCAGACCACATTTGTTGCAAAATAAACTGGTAATCTGGAATGGTGACACCCCCTGAAAAAATCCTGGATCCGCCCCTGCATATGTAATATGAAGAATTTCAAACAATACATATGACTGGTTTGAAAATTGAGATGTACTCTATATATTAAAGTGAAAGGTCAGTATAAATGAATAAAATGAACACAGCTTTTCTGGTTAAGTTGAGCCGGCTAATCAACTGTTGATAGAGTATCACTACATTGAATATTTTCCTTGGAGGTGATAAATGTTATAGCATCAATATTCCAAAATTAAGTGCAGTTGTTAGTGTAAGTGATCTTAGCCTTAACCATGGTGTTTCTGATTATCTTGATATTAGCCTGATTAATTTTTCACTGATTTTGTTTTGTAGGTGAAATCACGTATAATACAGATAGTGCAGACGTTCTCTGCCAGAAACTACCCCCTGTCCTGCGGAGCTGTCAATAAACAGTACAGTGATGAGGTAGGATGAAACTGTTCTTTCCACAATATGAGAAAGCTTAATACCATGTTTTCCTAGTTATAAGTCCTTATTTAGTGTTCAGCTTGTTCATCTTGTCAATCTTCCTGTGAACAAATACAGTATCCAATTTACCTGCAATTTTTGGCAATGTTTATTATTGGGATTCTATCTTTTCTCTCCGTTCTGTGATATGTCGATCTGTTTTCTAATTTCTAAATAAAGATCATTCCATTTGAATGCCCTATTGTTGAAATCTTGAAGTTCAAATATCAGATTGTTTTTAGTCCACCATCTCTTGTTTACAACCATTATTATAGTCATCAGTGACATGTTTTTCCATTTCACTTATATGATGTAGATGCATGTGTATAATGCATATACCCCCTCTCAACGGAACTTCATCAATCTTAATACTGTACAAGCGTTTGGTATGGCAATGCATTGAACCACTTGGCGTTTCGGGTTACTATGTTAGAAAAACTTTGTCATCGCTCTATGGACTTCATTCCTCAACGGAATAAAAATCTGTTATCCATCAAAGAATGCAGTGGCTACAGCAGATACTGCAACATCATTGAATCTTCTATTCATTTCCTCGTACATGTCACACATTGTGTACGCGAGGGGATTTGTATCACTTGTGATGCCTTGTTCATCTTGTTATTATTGCCAGCATCACTACTATTGTCATTCTTATGATTTGGACAATTTCCAGGTTATGATCGATGATATTGCAGCTATCGGAGGTGGAACAAAGATCGACTTGTTCCAGCAGCCACATGGTCAGCGCCAAGCCAAGATTCTTGGAAGATATTACTTCTATCAAGTAAGTGACCAGGAAGGTATTACTTTTGTGAAGTAAGATCAAGAACTGATACTACCTCAATTAACTATGTATACATCTATCAAAAATTAGTCCAAAGAAGGTATTTCTTGAACAAAAAAACTACACAGAAGAATTTTATTCCTACCAAGTATTAGTAAAACAAAAAGGATTCTCTAGGTAAATTATTATAATACAAATAATATTTTGAAAAACTCTTTTAATCTATTTCATTTAAGTTCATTTTTAAATGATGAATCTTATTTTGAGTACATTACATCAAAACGCTGAGGTCAATGTGTTTTTCATAGTCTGCATTTTTCCTTGACAGACAATTGTGGCTCAGGTGAAGCATGATCTTGAGGAGAGTGGAGGTATGGGGGATGCCAGTAAGATCCTGATGGATGCCATCAGCAACAAGACTTTAAACCAGGAAGATATGGTACTGTAAACATTAGGGGCCCAGTCACATTTAGTTAGGGTCTCGCTCAGAGATATAAGGTACTGTAAACATTAGGGTCTCGCTCAGAGATATATTTGGTACTGTAAACATTAGGGGACCAGTCACATTTAGTTAGGGTCTCAATCAGAGATATAGGGTACTGTAAACATTAGGGGCCTAGTCACATTTAACAAGGCTCTCAATCAGAGATATAAGGTACTGTAAACATTAGGGGCCTAGTCACATTTAACAAGGCTCTCAATCAGAGATATAAGTTACAGTAAACATTAGGGGCCCAGTCGCATTAAGTTAGGCTCTCAATTAGAGATATAAGGTACTGTAAACATTAGGGGCCCAGTCGCATTTAGTAAGGCTCTCAATCAGAGATATAAGGTACTGTAAACATTAGGGGCCCAGTCACATTTAACAAGGCTCTCAATCAGAGATATATGGTACAGCAAACATTAGGGGCCCAGTCGCATTTAGTAAGGCTCTCAATCAGAGATATAAGGTACTGTAAACATTAGGGGCCCAGTCACATTTAAAAAGGCTCTCAATCAGAGATATAAGGTAATGTAAACATAAGGGGCAATTTGGGTGACAGATAATTATTCATGTTGCCCGTTGCAATTTGGGTGAAAGATAAATAGAATGTCGCCCATTAGGGCGACATGAATATTTATCCGTCACCCAAATTGCATTCATATCGACTGTATACTGCATCTGGTAACAGTTCAATGCTGAAATATTTTACATGAAGATGACTTTAAGCAGGTCACATCCTGCTGTATGTTATTGTTACTCTTAACTAAATAATTTTTTGGTGGCTTACCATGACAATAGGAGGAGCTGATTGATATGCTGGGGAAGAATGAAATTGAGGCAAAGTTTGACGACCGGCTTCCATCAGTAAGAACCTCAGATGAATCAGACGATGAAACCCTGCAGATTTACGATTTTCAAGAACTGGCACACATGCCAACGATTGGTAGCCGTGTGAAGAAAGGACCACAATGGAAACAAGGGGAACCTGATCCAAGAGGACTGGGGACAGTAGTGGCCCATGCTAGTGAAGGTATACAGTAAAATTCTAGGGGAAAGGGGACAGTAGTGGCACCTGCTAGTGAAGGTATACAGTAAAATTCTAGGGGAATGGGGACAGTAGTGGCCCATGCTAGTGAAGGGATACAGTTAAATTCTAGGGGAAGGGGGACAGTAGTGCCCCATGCTAGTGAAGGTATACATTAAAACTCGAGGGGACAGTAGTGGCACATGCTAGTGAAGGTATACAGTAAAATTCTAGGGGAAAGGGGACAGTAGTGGCACCTGCTAGTGAAGGTATAAAGTAAAATTCTAGGGGAAGGGGGACAGTATATAGTGGCACATGCTAGTGAAGGTATACAGTAAAATTCTAGGGGAAGGGGGGACAGTAGTGGCACATGCTAGTGAAGGTATAAAGTAAAATTCTAGGGGAAGGAGGACAGTAGTGGCCCATGCTAGTGAAGGTATACAGTTAAATTCTAGGGGAAGGGGGACAGTAGTGGCACCTGCTAGTGAAGGTATACATTAAAATTCTAGGGGAAGGGGGACAGTAGTGGCCCATGCTAGTGAAGGTATACAGTAAAACTCCCGGGGAAAGGGGACAGTAGTGGCACATGCTTGTTAAGGTATACAGTAAAAACACCATTACTTATCCATTTTGTGTATACAAATTTTGTTTCATTTGTAAGACAAAGGTTATATATTGAAACTTAGGTAGCGGTACATAGTATTGGCAACAATGATTTCAATCTGGTTACTTTTGAAGGAATGTTTTGATAGTCATGAAACATTCTATACAGTCCCATAGTACACTGTATCAGTTAGCTGTTCAAGTTTGATTTATAACGGTAGCTGAAAATCAACATGGCTGCCATTGGCCAATTTGGATTTTTTGTGAAAATTTGTATGGTTTCTTTGCAAAAATTGTTGAAGGAATGTTAAAATTTTTATGAAATTTTCAACTCGTATCTATATTATCAAGCAATCAATCCACCTAAGCTAGGGTAGGAATTCTTGTTACCTCTTACATATTAATCTACCATACAGTGCCAGGCCCTAAAAGCCAAACGAACTATGTGTTAAATATGTCCTCTTCTGTTGCATTTTGTTTTTATTCTGTTGATATAACATCAAGTAATTTAAATGAAATAGCATGTTAGAAAATAGCGTTATGATTCTTAGAAACATGCAATTGAATGTGAATGGAAGCCAGCTAAAAATGCCATGCTGAAAATAAGGTCTTGTGAGTCTGATCTTGTGGAGAATGTCTTTTTTTTTTGGATGATGTGTTAATTGATTCTTTGTTCTGTAGGGATGGTGGTGGTGAAGTGGGATAAAGGTAAGATCGACCGCTACCAGTATCTCTCCGACTACCAGGAGGTGACATTAACGGGTGGACCTAGCCAGCCACGCCAGGTCCGGTCTGGACAGGATGTCGATGTGGGCTGCTGGGTAAAGCGAGGTATGTTGTGTGATAGTGGTCAGAGAATGTTAAACAATTACTGCTGAACCATCTCAATACACATCTCAAGGAAGTGACAATATTAAAAACATACCCATAAAAAGTCCATGTCTTGATCTTAATATTGCATCCTTATAATTAATTATATGTGAACAAAGCTGACATTGGGAAAAACCATCTTTTAACAGTAACTTATATAGCCCAATGTTACAAAATAAACTCTTTTTTATTTCTCCATCAAACTGATAGTTTCTTTATCATTTCTCCATCTAACTGATAGTTTCTTTATCATTTCTCCATCTAACTGATAGTTTCTTTATCATTTCTCCATCTAACTGATAGTTTCTTTTTTATTTCTCCATCTTACTGTTAGTTTCTTTATCATTTCTCCATCTAACTGATAGTTTCTTTATCATTTCTCCATCTTACTGATAGTTTTCTTTATCATTTCTCCATCTAACTGATAGCAGTACTCGTAGAGCTCTATCAAATATATTGGTGTGTTTTTACAGGGCCCCAATGGAATAAAGGTGATGAGGACGGTCAAGCTGCCCATGGAGTGGTCATCAGGCGCCACAAGAACATGTCTGTCACAGTAAGTCTATCACAAGTTTAAATCTGTAAAGGAAAGTCTTTCACCGATAAAGAAAAAGTAAAATTCTTGTTGATCAAAAGTGTCTACAGTAAAAAGTGGAAATTTTCCCTCATGGAAATGCTTGTATTGTGATGCGTTAACTTATTCACCGTGTAGAATTTTTTATATTGTCAATTTCTGTAATAAATTCTATATACAGTATCTGTAATATGTGCAGTCTTTATATATGTATTGGCATGTGGATATTTTTGTGTTGATTTATTCAAAAAGCAAAAGTTGTGAGCATTTCCACACTGCTAAAATTTCCACTTTTTAGAGTATTTCGGAGAGAAGGTTTTTTTTAATGGTTGCTTATATTACGTAAATACTAAAAGTAACTGTATTCAAAACAAGGATACATAAATTAGTCTATACAGTTTTTTGTATGTACTTTAGTCTATACAGTATTTTATATTTATCATTTGTTCATTTAATGTGATTTTTTTTATTAGATAATTATCCCCGCTCAACTAGTTGGCGGAGGATATAGAAATGGGGTCCGTCCATGCACCTGGTTAAGAAGAATTGCTCTCATCTATATCTTGCCTACTACAAGTGCTATGTTGATTATACTTGCAACAGTTGTGTATGTAGGGTTGCTCTACTGAATGCATATTGCGGATGCTTATTTTGACCTATATTTTACGCTTGATGTTTTTAATGACTATGCACTGCAGGCGGGGAATATCGATGACAGCGTCTTCTTGTTAGGCATCACATGCCCACTACTCTTAAAAGTCATATTGACTTGAGTGTCTATAGAACCTTACTGACTTTGTGATGATATCACTGGAAAGGTTCATTTAGCAGGAATGTAAGGTATATTTGCAAGATTCATCAAGTCACTGCTATTTTAAAACGATGTTCTTATCCAGACAGTTTCGCTGACATTCTGCCAGTTTGGTGATGTCAACATTTTTACTCATTGATACGCTAGAAAGTTGTAATTCCAAATTTCAATAGAAGTCAAGCATCTAAATATATATACCCGGGGCATGTGGTTTTATGGACCTCATATAAGTGATATCAACCTCATACTGCATCCTTGGTCATATCCTAAAGGTTGAAGATTTGTTAGCCTAGCTTGCGTAAATGAAATGTTGCACTGCCAAAAGTTTGTTCTTTTCGGAATTACCATTGAAAATAGCCAAGATCGTGACATTTGTGATTGACAGGTGAAATGGCCAATTGGAATTGTGGAGAGGTACAAATGTGGACAGGATGGAATTGTAGAGGTGGAAGCAATGTAAGTATTCCTGGTGTCATAGTTTATCTCCCTTTATGTATGGAAAATTTACATGTAAAAGTCCCAAAAAAAAGGGTCAAAAACTGTGACCACGTATCTAGTATCAGATTTGTTAAATACCATAGCAGTCATTTTTATGCCCCTGCCATAAAATGGGGGGGCATATAGTGTTGCCCATGTCTGTCGCGTCCCATTCTGTCCCGTCCCATCCATGAGCGGGGGGGGGGATTTATGTCTTACAGACATTTTCTATATTTTTTTTAGGGTAACTGTACTGCCAAAGAAAGCTCAGTTTTCTGTTATTATAAGTAAAACCTAATTATTACAAGCTTAATAATGAATTTGCACCTTGATCCCTTATAATTGCGGCTTATGATCAAATGATCTATCTTGAATCGTCTTTCGATCTTTAAGATTGTGAACGATTCCAGCTTCTATGGAATAGTATGGTATGACACAATATCTTCCTGCTTTCCAACAGAACCCATGTCCCCATTGCCGAGTCCCAGCCTCAAACTGACTCCCAACAACTGCCTGCAGGCCGTACAGATGCTAGAGCTGCAGGAGCAGGTATAGTACTAGTGTGTGTAACGTATCATAAGTACAGCCAATGTTGTATGGCCACTGTGTTTCTATAGCGATGGGGCCTCCCAAGGGCTAGTTATTAGTAGGATCTCCATGGAAACTCATAACTTTGATATATGGATTTTTAAGCAAGTGTCCATATTATCTGAGATTTTGTTTTTCATTTTAGAACAAAATTAGTTTGATTATTATCAAGTCTTATGTCACCGTTTCAATGTCATGCCTCAAAATGTTATGTTTATTGTCTTAATCCCGACATCAGATCAGGCGATATTGCACCATAGCCTCTTGATGACTGGGGGTGTGACACATTACCTGGGCCATTTTCGTTTAAATAGTTGAACTTGTCGGACCACAGTTGTTTGTTTATTCAATAAGGTCGTACCTAGTAATCTGATGCTGCTTATACTAAAAAAAGTTACATTTAAAGACGAACAAACCGGTTGTTTCACAGATGTCACCGACAAGAATGAGTAGATAAGATATATATATATAAATAAATAGAGATCTATAAGGTTAAAATAAGACAATTGATCAAATATGGTCTTTTTTGTCATCAATCATAGACCTGTTTGATGAATCCCATGACCTTGAAACATGAACTTTTCACTCCAGTTTACATATTGGTCCTTGAACAAGAGTGTATTTATATGGAGATTGTTGAAGGCAGAAATGTCCAATAACCCCAGGTAACCGTTTATAACAGGTGGTCACTAAAGAAAGTTTAACTCTACCTGTCAATAGTGAATAGGCCTTCTTTCATGATCCAAATATACTTAAGAACATTTTAATTTATCCATTTTCAGTGACAAGAGAGGATGGTTTGGTGTCGTGCTGGCAGTTCCAGGATGGACTCAACCAGTGGCGAACCTTTTCCATGGACGAGAGTGCCAAGTTGGACAACCACAGTACTAACAGAAAATCGGGGCTGATCACAGTCACGCACAAAGGAACGCAGTCAGTACCGCTTACTTAAAATAAGCCATTTAAGGAATTCTCTTTTGTCTAGTTTATGAGGTGATATTTAGAGTATGTACAGCTATGTGTAGTGTAGGTTTGTTCATGCTTCACAGTATCATTTATATCACCTAATTACTTGACAAAACAGAAATTAAATCCTTCTCTTTACTATTATTATATATCCCTATGGTACAATGGAAAACTTTCACCCTCCCCTGGTAATATCCATATTTGTCCAGTATTAATTTTGCCCTTCATATGTAATCAATACAATATATGGTGTATTGTGTATTTAATATTCACTGTCAGGCTTAATTGACTGTCATTACATAGGGCGAAAAGTTAAACTGCTTTGAAAAAAATCTGAATATACAGTAGTACATGTCTACTTTTTTTATTAATGTGAAAAGTAAACATACTTAAGATTAAGTGTTTATCTTGTTGTTTATAACTTAAGTCAATATGATAGCTTTTAGATGAAGTAGAACTGTGTTATCAAATGAAAAAACAGGGCAGATTATGAATATCATAAAGGTTATTGCTTCAACCAATGAAATTTTATAAATGCACATGTTACACAATCTTAATGATACAGATAATTATTTTGTTTACATTCAGGTATCGGATAGATCTTCCCACCATGCGGTACAGAGAGCAAGGAGCCCAGGCCCAGGGGCCAATACAGCAGACATGTAAGTATTGGTGAAACATGGTGTTAACCTTTGAACTTTGTCTTAACCTTTGAACTTTGATCACAGAGCTCATCACCAGTTGATCCTTTTGGTAACCTCCTAGTTAAATAGATACATAGAGATGAAATAAAGTTAGAAATGCATATCTTGTAGAGCAATCGAAATAAGAGGGAAAAATAGAACAATCCTATCATTTGAAGTCACTCATGGGTGTAGGAGATAAATTCTCAATTAAAATTTGTATGTATTTTTGCAAGAATTAATGAAGAAAAGAAGGCATCAAATTAAATTTATAGATAAATAATACATGTACCAGTATTGTAAGATAAGGTGCAATTAAAATTCTCATAAAAGAAAATTATAACAATCATCTTACTCGTCAGTCATGGGTCATGTAGGACGTGCATGGGACTATATGTTTGCCTGTCTGTCTGTGTGACACATTGTCCAGGTTATATCCATAAAACATGTTATCCATCTACAATTGCCAAATTTTGCATTCTAGTACCTCTTGGAAAGATAACAGTGTCTTATGATGAAACTATAAAAACTACATGTATAGCTATTGCCATATATTTAGTGCATGTAACTTTGTTCTGGTCTTACCAAAGTCCTTAAAAATGGTAGTTGTTATTCCCTGCTTAATGTTTAGTGTTTAGGGTAATGGCAACAACTGGTTCACCCGTTGTCAGTATAATGTGACCGGGCGGAATGCTGTGCTGGGTGCCTTCGGCTTGGCATTTCAGTGAGATAGCACTATAAAGTCAGCATCAGATCCATGTTAACAAGGCAAGCACACCAACATACTCCGTATCCTGCATTCACACACAGAAGCATGCATACACTACATACACGGAGGCACGTCCTTAAATGACCTTAACTGTTAATAGGACGTTAACCAAAAGTAAACCAAACCAAACCAAACTTATCTCACATACTCTTTGTCACTTACAAAAATAATTGCCGTGTAATTTTGTATGTGAGATTATAGCTGTGAAGAAAATATGAGATATGTCTTTCACAAGGTGATGAACAGTTATGGTAAATTACTGTTCTTCAGCAGTTGGTATAAATGTTAAAATTTTATTTTTATTTTACAGATGTAACTCCTGAGGAATATCAAACCATGATGGTTATAGAGGATATTGGTGCCATGTAGCTGGGTGTCATTGATGAATGTAGGTATAATACTGGGGCCAAGTTGTTCTGCCTTAAGTTAGTAGCTGGGTGAATGTAGGTATAATACTGGGGCCAAGTTGTTCTGCCTTAAGCTTGTAGCTGGGTGAATGTATGTATAACACTGGGGCCAAGTTGATCTGCCTTAAGCTTGTAGCTGGATGACATGGATGAATGTAGGTATAACACTGGGCCAGGTTGTTCTGCCTTGTAGTTGGGTGACATGGGGGAATGTAGGTATAACACTGGGCCAGGATGTTCTGCCTTGTAGCTGGGTGAATGTAGGTATAAAACTTGGTCAGGTTGTTCTGCCTTGTAGCTGGGTGACATGGAGGAATGCAGGTATAACACTGGGCCAGGTTGTTCTGCCTTGTAGTTGGGTGACATGGGGGAATGTAGGTATAACACTGGGCCAGGATGTTCTGCCTTGTAGCTGGGTGAATGTAGGTATAACCCTGGGCCAGGTTGTTCTGCCTTGTAGCTGGGTGACATGGATGAATGTAGGTATATCTCTGGGGCCAGGTTGTTCTGCCTTGTAGCTGGGTGAATGTAGGTATAACACTGGGCCAGGTTGTTCTGCCTTGTAGCTGGATGAATGTAGGTATAACACTGGGCCAGGTTGTTCTGCCTTGTAGCTGGGTGAAAGTATGTATAACACTGGGCCAAGTTGTTCTGCCTTGTAGCTGGATGAATGTAGGTATAACACTGGGCCAGGTTGTTCTGCCTTGTAGCTGGGTGAAAGTATGTATAACACTGGGCCAAGTTGTTCTGCCTTGTAGCTGGGTGAATGCAGGTATAACACTGGGCCAGGTTGTTCTGCCTTGTAGTTGGGTGACATCAGGGAATGTAGGTAAAACACTGGGCCAGGTTGTTCTGCCTTGTAGTTTGGTGACATCTGGGAATATAGGTGTAACACACGGCCAAGTTGTTCTGCCTTGTAGCTGGGTGAATGTAGGTATACCACTTGGCCAAGTTGTTCTGCCTTGTAGCTGGGTGACATCGGGGAATGTAGGTATAACACTGGGCCAGGTTGTTCTGGGTCTGATTATAGCTGAACACATCTTAACGGAAACAAATAAAGCATCTTTTAAAAGTATTATTATTAAAAACTGGAACTACAAAATGATTATCTGAGAACAAAAATTAAAAACAAGTTATTATGTTTTAGACATGCTTGAAAAATTCTCATTTTCATTTATAATATGTGTGTTTCAATTTATTGAAATTTCAGGTCAATTCAGTCCGACTAGTCCCTTTATGATTTACTTACAGCTTAACAAATGAAATGTTTTTTTGTTGCAGTGAGTTGAGAAAAATTGTGTTTGATTGAAATCTGCGATAAATACACTTGGAGCAGCCATCTGCGTAAAGTCCAGGGATCTCCCATCCTGACTTACAATCATTCAGAAGTGCTCTTCCCAGTAACATAGGATTTCAGGAGTTTCTGGTCAAACACACACCACAGACAGATCTGAGGGATGGGATGTGCTCCCTAATGATTTGCCAAGTACTTTAAACTACCTTGCAGACCTCTCCCAATATTTACATGTAGCTGTTTTATTGGTCGTTGGTAAAAAAAACTGACCGATCGCTAGGCAGATGTGTGTCCATTGAAGATTACAGAGGAGTGACACCCGACTTCAAAGCCAGTCAGTCTTTGATATATATCAAATTATCAAACTAGTCCTCTTGTCTCGCCTACATGGTGATGCGCACTGCGCTCTCAACTTTGCTATGAAATATTCCAGGGGTGCAGAGTGTGAAAGTGAACGTAACCCCTGGAGTACGTAACCCCTGGAGTACGTAAACCCCTGGAGTACGTAACCCCTGCAGTACGTAAACCCCTGGAGTACGTAACCCCTGGTGTACTTAACCCCTGGAGTATGGAGGATGGTTACAGACAAATAGATATTACCTCTACATAGTGTTGACACATAGTTAAAGTGCAACTTAATGATAAGCTAGCTCCTCAACGACTGTAAATGGAATCGTGTTAAGGTGTAGAATTTTTTGCAATGGAAAAATTGTTCATCAATAATAAAAAATGTTGCTTCTATGAGTTAATAATTGTTATTATTTAATCCATTTGTACAAATGCTATGAAATGTAATGGCTTGTGTCTTTCATACCTGATTGTGCTTTTTGACCTGTAAACAAAGCTCTTTTTTTTTTTTTACAGATATTTTATTCCCCCAGCCATTTTTTTCATAAATATGTATATACATATACTGCTTCGAAGCAGATATATATATACATATATAAATATTTTGATAGGGGATGCCAGGGTTGGGGAGCCCTGGAGTCAGCCCCTGAACAATAGGGTGTCCTCATGGCTCTTGTTATATGTACCTACTTCAAACATATATTAATGACTGGCTTGGTGAGTTTATGATCAAAACTTTCTATGATAGCAGAATTTGACTTGCAGATTGTAATTATGCATTTAAATTGACATAAAGATATAATCGGTTACCTTTAGTAGACTTCAGATTTGAAAAAGAAATTGTTATCAGCTATATTACTTATTTGGGGAGATCTTATGATAATTTTAAGGAACAAGTAGTTTCACTGAATGTAAATTATTAGAGAGTTGGAACTTGGAAGAATTGATTTTCTTTCAGAAACCTGGCTAATTATAAGGCAAGGATAATGGACGAAAGGGAAACGGGTTAAAGTCACAAATGGAAAATAGAGATGTGAATAAATGCATATGAATGCAATACTGTTTTGAAGAGATTTTTTTGTGATATTAGGGTTATGTGTTTCAGTATTAGAATACAATAGACAACAATGTTCAAGAATAGTGTGAAGATGCAGACATCAGTGTTTCTATAATACAATAGACAGTAATGTTTAAGAATAGTGTGAAGATGCAGGCATCAGTGTTTCTATAATACAATAGACAGTGATGTTTAAGAATAGTGGGAAGATGCAGGCATCAGTGTTTCTATAATGCAATAGACAGTGATGTTTAAGAATAGTGTGAAGATGCAGGCATCAGTGTTTCTATAATACAATAGACAGTGATGTTTAAGAATAGTGTGAAGATGCAGGCATCAGTGTTTCTATTGTTATCAATAAAGTTGTACAGAATATTTTTAACATCAATATTTTTAGAAAACGTTTTGCATAATTCATCAATATATTTGATATGATGCTTGTATATTAAGTTTCTTTTCTATGTATTTTATGCTAGTGTAGAATTGTGCATATATTTATATATAATTTGGTTAATAGGTTTTCACCTTCTGTTATGCTCAAATTCATGATAATTGCTTACTTTACAGGTACAATGTATAAGCTTAGTATATTTACGTAGTGTACTTATCAAGTGTTAATTTTAATTTGTAATTATTCCATATGCATGTTTTGGATAGTTGCACCGGATGAACTAAGCTAAATCCTAGCTTCACAAAATTTTGACTCCAAATTTCTTCATTTAGGTACCTGAAAATGTATATCCTTCAATAGGAATTTTTGGCAGTCATAATATTTTGTGATTTAAAGTTTTATAATCTGAAAGTTGTTTTTTTGTGATTTAAAATGTGGTGAACTGTCAAAACCCAAACTTCCAATTTTGTGCCAGATATGGATTATTTTCTATCTGCATTTATAGCACAGGTTTAGCATACATTACCTGGTATCATGAAAGCTGCTGACAGTATGTATATGTGTAAAATCTCGACCAGGGGCCTGTTCGTTTATGCGGAACAATCGGTTTGATCGTTTATAAATGTAACAATTTCGGGTATAAGTCCTGGCGGACCTGCAAATGTGTATGCAGGCCTTGCAAGGCTTTGTCAAGCAGCATCAGATTACTAGGTCCGACCTTATTTAATAAACGAACAACAGTGGTCCGACCGGTTTGACTGTTTAAACGAAAACGGCCCAGGCGTTTCTATTGTGTCTGCTAGTAATTATTCTCACAGTTGCCACACAGACTGACAATCTTAATTTTGATTTATTGTATACCTACCAAATTAAAGCTCCACTGAATTCTTTTTGTCGTGTGTTCATTGTGAGTTCACACTTGTGTGCACGTGTAGTAGCATTCCATATCTTAAAATGAAATAGCAGTTGTAAGTTACAAACAAATTCTGTTTGTTTTGATGCAATTTTATGGCAACAGTAGATGAAAACCAAGTTTTTTATTATGATAATAGCTCGTTTGTGAAAACCTCGGATTATTAAAAGCTAATTTCTCAATATAATGCTTTCATCATTTGTTACTGAACGTGCCCAAAATCTAAGGACATGGTGCACTGTTGTCGGCCCCTTTTTTTTTAAAAGCTGCTTGTCAAGAAGAGCAGCTCCAATCGCCCTTTGTCTATGGTCCATCCTTCAATTCTTAAATTTGTCTGGATGATAACTTGAAAAAGAACGGTCACATTAAGTTTAAACTTTGTGCAAGTGTTGCACCTGGGAATGATAATAACTCTATTGATTTTGTGTATGACCTGCCAAGGGTCAATGTCGCAGTAAGAGGCATACTGTGGACATACAGACTACAGTTTTGACAACACTGATGTTTAGTTGGCATAGCAATGAGTCCAATTCTGCAGTAATGTGTCAAAATTTCAAAATGTTCAAAAAACAAATCTTCTAGTGTGTCCAACGATGTGGGATGGAAAAGCCTTAACCCTGAGGAACAATGTAAATGTGGAGATGTCTATACAATTTCGGTTTAATCTGGAGCCAAGTACAGTCTATTGGCACAATTCTGCATCCACTTAATTTACGTATGCTTGAGCAGTTTATAAATTTGACAAGTTAAACTGAGAAAACCTAGGTACATAATGTGGTTTAGGGAAGACAAACTGATCTAATATACATAAGGTGGGGTGAAGAACCATAGTCCAGGATCGATGGTCAAATTTTAATATCTTTGTAAGGATCCAGTTTGGGGAAACCCTCGCAGTATTCACGAGACATGCCTTAAGTTCAAAGTCAACCATTGTCCTGGCGATGGCCTTCCTAGAAAGTTGTAGCACATAAACCAAATTAACATTAAGTGATGTTCTGACATCACACAGAACAGGTAACCAAGTAAGCCTGTACCTGTACAATCAGTGTCCAGTTAGTGTGGGCTTAGTGTTTCTGCTACACTGATTATTAGAATGAACATTTTGATAAAACCAGCATTGCAATGTACAGTAGGATTTTATTTGCAAAAACATCTTCATGAAGCAAAATGTCATCAAATTCTATAAAACTTCTTAATCGACAAATTTGAAGGACATTCACAAAAATAATACTTTAACACAAACAGATACCGTAAATTTGTGCGAATAGTGTGCACTTTTTTGGGTAAATATTGACATGTCAAAAAGGGGGTGCGCACTATACGCAGGAACAAGTCATTCTTGGGTTATCATTCTCGAGTTTCAGGTACATACTTTTTTAAAGATATATTTGACGTATATATAATCAAGAAAAATATGGATATACCATACATACATACATGAAGAGGTTAAAAAACACTTGGGTATGGAGAAATAACCAATACAACCGCCTCTAGGTTCACTTTAAACCTCTTTAATATAAGCTGGTACTCATAATCGAGAACCTCGTTAGTAAAAATGTATCTCAAAATCAAGAAGATTTTTGATAAAAGCTAGTAGCTCTCAAAATCAAGAAGATTTTTGATAAAAGCTAGTAGCTCTCAAAATCAAGAAGATTTTTGATAAAAGCTAGTAGCTCTCAAAATCAAGAAGATTTTTGATAAAAGCTAGTAGCTCTCAAAATCAAGAAGATTTTTGATAAAAGCTAGTAGCTCTCAAAATCAAGAAGATTTTTAATAAAAGCTGATAGCTCTCAAATCAAGACACCAAAAGAGAAAAATAATTATTACTTGGGGAAGGGGGTAGGAGAAGAGGAGATCTAGCAGATCTTGGCTGCATTGTTTGACGGTGACCACTGAGACCAATTGAATTCTGTCTCAAGGTAAAATGTTCCACATTTAAATTCTGGTCCTATATCATCTACACGTTTGACACCCTTTCCATATATGGAATAACCACGGGGTGTCGCCAGGAATAGTCACACCCAGGCATTTTAACATTGAGACCATCCTCGGATGGATGGTTGATAGTCATTGCAATAGGTTTATCCCATAGCTTTGTATAGAAATGCATTACAACAACCATGGCTTTGTATAGAAATGCATTACAACAACCATGGCTTTGTATAGAAATGCATTACAACAACCATGGCTTTGTATAGAAATGCATTACAACAACCATGGCTTTGTATAGAAATGCATTACAACAACCATGGCTTTGTATAGAAATGCATTACAACAACCAT